AGTTTATATGTTGGAATTCTATTTAACCAGTGTACTCTTTTCATTTGTGTGATAATACAGTGATTCTCTTCTTCTCATCTAAACCTATCATCAACAAATATCAATTCTGTGTATGAATAGGGTAGTTATGGAAATAACAGACATATGGAGAAGTGTTCAAGTTATTAACTCATGAATAGTGGGCCGCTGGTCTGTCTCTCTGAAATCTAAGACATAAAGTTACTCATTCGATAATCCTTCAATGCTTGATTGCTTATTCCAGGCAGAATCTAGGATCAGTCTATATCGTAGTATTAGTCTCAGCTAGCGCTTGTTGCCATCTGATTCTGGTAATTGTTATGCATTTTTGTATCCTTTCTTAGATAGATCAAAATAAACATGGAGACCAATATCTATCCAACGATGCATAGCTTGCATACTTTGGGGTTCTTGCTCAACATTAAAATTGCTCTTTTCTGTAGTCATGTCTTGCACCCGTGAGTCTATGGGTGTACCATGGGAGGTTCATCCAGGTTGAATTAGGCAATTTTGCATGTCAACTTTCATCTTTGGCATTATCTCTTATGTCAACTTTCATTTTTGAAGTCTCACAACTGATGATGTATATTTTGGACTGAAGGAATGTTCCAACAATTATAGAGTCTTTGAGTGTTGATGGATCTACCGGGCTACAGATAGAATCTTCAAAAGTTGATCCAGCAACAGGTACTGTCCTCCCTTCATTGCATGCCTACGTCATCCTCACTTGAAAGTCTCCTATGTACGTATGATTTGAAAAACCCGTTATTGATACTGTTAGATTTTTGCATTCATTCTTCTGCTTCCCTTGAACAGGGAAAACTTGGGTGTCACCATCAAAGAGATATGCTGTTGTTCCAGATGAAACTGTAAGTTTGTGTCCCATAAATGTTCAACATCCAAGTGAATAAAAAATGACATAGTTGAGGGCATACTGAGAAACAGATTCCATAGGTGACTAAGGCAATTAGAGAACGAAAAAAAAAACATGTTCTCATGTGCACAATTGCATCTTTTTCCACTTTTTGACACATGTAAGGTCAAGTGTTGAAGTCATCACCTCTGACCTCCCATCCATGGAAATATAAAAATAAGAAGCATGTGATCAATAAAAAAGGAATGCCAATTTTAGAAGTTCACCTTGCTTGAATTCCTAAGGGCATGTTTTGTTCTACATTCAAAAACAGTTTTCTCTGTTTAATTTCATGAAAACAAACCGAAAATATCAAAATATGTTTTCACTTTTCAATTCAGAAATCATACAACTATTAAACAACTGGAAACTTCCAATTGAATAGTTTGAACACTGCATTTAAAAATAGTTTTTGAAATCTCAGTCAAACATACCATTGGAACCTTTTATGTTCTTTCAAAGTATTTTGACAAAGAACTGCCAACATTTTATGCAGTTATTATCTCGGTCACATGTTTTCTCAACTAATATTTCTTGTAATTTTCTCCAAGAAATGGTTTCTTTTGTTCTGTTTTCTTCTATATTCTTTTAGTCTGGTGGAGTGGACTTTGATAACTGTTTACGGTTAAAAGCTTGAAAACAGAAGTTAACAACAAAGAGGTAATTGGCTTGATTGATTCTGCAGGTCCGAGGGCAAACATCTGCTTCAGTCAAGGGTAATGGGAATGATGTAAGTGTTCCACAGTCCGACGTGAAACGCTTACGGTTTTGATCATCTTTGGGATGTCCTAGTATTTAAGAAACAAGGATGACAGGTCCTCCTGGCTTCTAAACTCCCTGAAATGTTCAATGTGAACCAAATGAAGCCATTACTGACACGTGCCTTCATCTCTCGTGCTTGGAAATCATTGTGCTGTTGGAAACACAATGCATGTAAACGGAATACGAAACCCTTGTTGGTGTAACAGTTTTTGTTTGAAGGCATCCTATGGTGATTTGTTTCCACTGTGGAATTGCCTTCCACATACAGGACACATCAACCGTAGTTCTTATTTTGCTGGGGGGAACTTGTACTGCATTTCCCTATGTATTTAGGTCCTGTTTGGTGGGCTGGACTGGACTGGTTTGGATTAGGCTTGGAGTGTTGGACTGATTTGGCTTGGATTGGGTTGAACTTTAATGAGTTGTTTGGCACATTAAGTTGGACTATACTGCAAGTCCAGTCCGTTGTTTGGTACAAGTATGGACTGGATTGCATTGGACTTCAAACAAAATTTATTTTTAAAATTTACTTTCATGTTTATTAAGATTATTAAATATCAGAAATAATTAAATTTAATAAATAAAAACAAGTAGACAAAATTAAAAATTAGAAATCACATGAAGATACCATAAAAATAGTCCAAAAATTCACAAAATTAATAATAACATGAAATTTTTTTCAAGTTACTAACATCATGGATGCACACAAACGTTGATTCTCTAACTCTACTGCAACTAGAGTTGTCACAGTCTTCCTCTTTCTCTCTCGATCCATGTCTACCCTACCATTAACAATATTGGCAAGAACAAAATCATAATTTGTGGCCTTCTTTTTTAGTTGCTTCTGAGGTCTACGTATGAGAAATGTAGGGTTTCCTATTTTGTCCGGTAGGTCTAGACGCATGTTAAGATGTGACAATAATAACAAGAATATTGACTCACTGCCTTTTAAATTTCAAGCCCGCTGCATAAGGGACCTTTTGCCCAGATGCATTGTCAAGATTATGTGAGCATTTAGGCTTGGCCATGGCCAAGCGCTCGTCCATTTGGTGCCATGGTGCCATTTTTTAATTTAATTTTTTTTTTATGCGAAACGAAAAGGGTTACAAAACGAAACCTCTAGGACAAGAGTTCCCTAAGATGACTTGGAGCCATTGAGAAGGGATAGTAAGCTTGGGATATATGGCTTTGTATTGGGTTCATTATTAGACTCTTGAGAGTTTTGACTCCTATGTTGCACGTTTAGACACATGCGGAATATGATACAATATGTATAGTGTGCCATGCTACAGCACAAACAAGTGGAAATTTTGAATTTGACAAATAAATATTGGCCTTGATCAATAAACAATATAATTACCATTAAAGCTAAAATGTACATGGTGAAGGTGAAATTCTTGCAATTCAGAGAAATAAGTCATTTAAATAATAGAGTTTTATTATAGTTGCCCTTCATTTATAGTTAAAACCTTGTAGCGCTCTTGACCAAAAAATATATATCTTTGTAGCGCTCGACTTGATGCCATAAGGATGAGTCGAGCTCTAATTTACGAATGTGTATGAGTTTCTAGCATTGAGTTTTGGGTGCTTCTTTGTGGCTTGAAAGGTTTTGAGAATGAATCAAAGGCCTAGCGTAAGTAGTACGTGTGTGCCTCCTACCCCACTCCCCCCTCTTATCCCGTGTCCAAACTAAGGTCTCTCTTCCTCTTTACAAAATCTCAATTTATAAGGGTTTGAGGTTACATAAGTTAGATATATTCAAGAAATTCCCCCTAGTCAAATCCTAATAAGTTTCCACTTATAGCAATCTTCTAACCTCTTTCTCTCTACATTCTCATCTAAGATCAAAAAGTGAAAGTACTTGGACTTAGTGATTCATAGGGACCCAAGTGAAGAGAGAAGTCAGAGATTCCTCTAGCTTCCAAGGGTTGAATCTCCTAGGTTTTCTTTTCCTGGCAAAGTCCATTCTATTTTCTTCCATTCCTCTTCTCGAGGTTGTAAAACGGTGAGGTTTGAACTAGGCATGAGAATCATACTTGGTTATTTGTATGCCTTTATTGTTTGAGTTTTGGCTAGTTCGTAACGAGCTATCAAGGGAGGGAGCCAAGGAGGGTTTGTGTGTAACCAACTGTCAAAAGGAAGTGCCACCATGGGTTTTTTCTTCTCTCATGCCTACCCAAACTCAACAAGAATGGCCCTGGGTTTTGGTGCTTCTGAGCACCCAAAACCTCTGTTACTTTTAGAGTGTCCAATGGTCCTTCCAAATCCGTATACCACACCGCAACCCATTCCTCAAGTCCTATGAATTTGTATGTCTTGGACCACTTGAGCTTGTTGGATGGTTTGGCACAAAGTGAAGCTGCTAGTGACAAGACCGGCCCTAGAATTCCCCTTTGGAAACTGAGAGGAGTCCTATGGATGTTCAACATACCCTTGTTTTGAAATCAATTTAAAGGGTTGGACTTCTGCCCAAAATCTTGCAAAGTCTCCTTGTAATTGAAACATTTAAGAAATTCTCACATGTAAAAATACACAATAAAAATTTCCCAATCAACCAACATGCACAAGTTTCAAAACATACACCATCCCATCTAAGTTCTATTAGGCCTCAGGGCCCTTTACATAACCCTAACATGGCCAATATTCAAAGCAATTCAATCTAAATTCAATTTAGAAATGAAAAGGAGTTCAAAAGAAATAAGGATCCTATAACATAGATCTGGTTTCTTCTTATTGATCTGCGTTTAGTTCTTTCTAATGTACAAGGTTTTTGGTAGCAAGAATCCATGAGAACAACTCCTTGAGAGAGCTCTCTTATCTATAGGCGTTGAATTTAGGTGGTCTACATGGCCTGGGGTGGTGTAGCCCACTAATTTTATCAAGTGGCTTCTGGCGTTCCACCGCATTCGATCAGGGGTCAAACCAGTGAAAGGCGAATGGACAAGCATGAGTACTTCACACAATTTCCTAGGGCGACGACGCTCTAAACAATTCTTGTTATGTTTTACTATTTAGATCGGTGCACTAGATGCTAAGTTATATAAGGTTTTGATAAGAGTTTAAATTAAGTTGTACCTTGAGGCCCAAAACCTTGTGAAATAAGGAATGGTTTTGAGGCCTATTAAGGGGTCATATTTATTTCCTTTTATGCGTGAACCGATCTGGTGGGTTTGGAAGATTAGTCAAGTCGGCCCTCAGTGATGAGTAGAGACGACTTGACCTAGCCCTATATAAGCTTAAGGCCCTGCTCTCATCAGACACGTTCTCTAACCCTATTCTCATCATAAAGAGAGAGCTGAAACAGATTCTGAGAGAGAGCATAAGTCTTGAGCCATTCCTGTTCTTGCTAGGATTACTGCTGCTATGGATTGGATGAGTTCAAAGGTCGTGTACTCAAGGAAGATGGCTCCAGGTATGTCTTCATGTCTTTATACGTATTACAGTTTTGTGTGAAAGATCTTGATTGTGTATAAAGAAATCTAACAGTTGGTATCAAAGCCTGGTTGTTCACACATATCTGTAATCGTTGTTCAAGCATGCCTACTATGTTTTCATATCTGTTTGATGAGTTTTTGGTTATGTCTATTTTTTTTTTCGGTTACAGGTTATGTCTATTTTTGAAGATTGATTAAACATGTTTTCTGAAATATCAAGAATATTAAAGAATATGGAAAAACATGTTTTTGATTTGTTTTTCATATTTTCAAAACTTTTAAACACGTTTTTGACCTAGCAGATCACCTTAAAAGCCTAAAAATGCCGATATTTCATGGCCATGCAATGAGTTGTGTAAGTTAGGTCATTCCCTATTCAAAAAGGTATTTTACGTCAAAAACGGACACCAAAAACCCCTAAAACACTATTCACGATAGTTTTTACTATTCACTGCAATTTTAGGGTTTTCCTTCTTGAACTGTGTTTTGTTTGGTTATTTTTCTAAGCTAGATAGATGTTTGTTTTTGTTTTGAGAATCAACAAACTTTTCATAACAAAACAAAACCTAAATACTCAAACCCTAAAGAAATAACTGAAAATTGCATCATACCTAAGAACAACCCTCTTGGCTTGACCCCTACCACTGAATTCAAGTGCTATTTCTGCCAGAAGGAAGGTCACATGAAGAAGAACTGCAACAACTACAAGAAGTGGTTTGAGAAGAACAAGAACAAAGGTAATAAAGAATTAGCCTTAGTGAGTTTTGAGTCTAATTTAGTGGATGTTCCTTCTAATTCTTGGTTGTTAGGTACGGGAGCCTCGATTCATATAGCTCATAATGTGTAGGAATTCACAAGAAGGAGGGAACCAAGAAAGCATGAAGTTAAAGTGTTCGTGGGGAATGGAGAGCAAGTAGATGTGGAAGCCATTGGAGTAGTGCAACTGAAATTGGATTCTGGTTTTATTTTAGAGTTGGATGATGTAGTTTTAGTAGCCTCAATGAAGAAGAATTTGATTTCTGTTTCAAGATTATTAAGACTTGGTTTTGTTTTTCAATCTACTATATTGCTTGTGCATTCTATTTGCTTGTTTGCTATTTGAGTATGTTATATACTAAGTTTTATTGAGCTTTTATTTTAGTTTTGCAATTCATTGGTATAGGTGTTTGCTTATAAGTATATTTGGTGTTACTTCTTGTTGTTTTAAACTTCTGAGGTAGGGGTAAAAAAGTGTTTATTATTATTTTGATTCTAATTTTTTAATACATTTAGTTCGACCTTATTTATGTATTATATCTAGTTTTTATGATGATTGTGCTTTGTGTTGAAATCACAAATAAAAATTTGGGTTAATTACAATTTAGTACCCTGTACTTACACCGTTAAGGCATGTTAGTCCCCGTCTTTTCAATTTTTACAATCGCATACCCTTAGTTTGTAAATTTTTTGCAATGTGGTTCCGCCGTTAGGGTTTCTGTTAGATCTCTCTGTTAACTGCCTACGTGTCATTGTGGGTTCCACATTTTTTAATTTTAAATTGATTAAAATATGAATAAAATATTAAAAATCAAAAAAATCAAAAAATCAAAAAATTTCTCTCTCTCTCTCTCTCTCTCTCTCTCTCTCTCTCTGCGTTCTCTCTCTGCAACGAACCCAGAAACCCAGCCTGCAATCTCTCTCTCTCTTGCTTTCTCCTCCTTCAAGAATCAAAACCTCTCCTCTCACAGTGAGATTCTTCACCTCCGTCTCTGTCAAAATGCGGCCTTTACAGCCTCTGTAACTCCGGAGACTCTTGCTCCGCTACCTCTCTACCTCTTCTTCATCACCATCTTCTTCTCCAACTATACAAACCCACATTCTGTTTCACTCAAGAAAACCCACCCATTTCCACTATGCCCAACCTGTCATTACCACAACAGCAAGCTCTCACTTTCTCTCTCCTCTTCATTTCTGTGTCTCTAAACCCTTTTCTTCCTCAACCTCACCAGCCCAAGACTCAGATCAATCCCAATTAGCTCAGTTTCTCTCCTCTGAACTCCTCATAGACCCTAGCTCCGATCCTCTCTCTGTCACCCAACGCCTACAATTGAGCTTCTCCCATATCACCCCGACTCCTTCCCTGGTCCAGTCCGTGCTCAATCTGTCCCCTGATGCCGGCCGGGCAGTTATAGGGTTTAACGAGTGGCTCATCTCAAACCCTACTTTTGAGATATATGGGTTATGGGTTATGGGTTCGTGGGGGCTGAGGTCGTGGGTTCTGGGTTCGTGGGGTTTGAAGGGTGGTAGTCATGGGGAATGCAGGGAGAAAGAGAGGGGGGAGGGGGGATGGGTTCTGTGGGTTATGGGGGCTGGGGTTCCGAGCTTTGGTCATGGAGAGAGAGAGAGAGAGAGCAGCTGGATTTCAAGATGGGTTTGTGAATTTTGACCCCAAAATCCCAACTTTAACAGAAAAATGGGACAAAAGCTAAGATGATGAAAAAAATTTCAAACGTGGGATTGGATAAGTCCCACAACTTTGATACCCATTATTTGCCATATCCAGCAAGCCTCAAATTGAGGCAGGGATAAAGCTCAACAACCATGCATAGGAAAAGAGTTCAAAAAATATGGGAGTCTAACCAACCAATGAAAACTCTTAAGAGAGGTTAGTGGCTCCTGTTTTTGTGGAGCTGATTATTCAATTTTTGAATAAAGCATCCTACACTAAAGAGGTTTCTAGCATATAAAAAGGACAGCAGTAAAAATAAAAAGGAAGAAAGGAAGGACGGAAGGAAAAAAGGCTGCTGGAGAAAAATTGTTAGAGCATAGAGACAAAAGAAAATTTGTCACAGGTATATTGTCATTTCAATTAATTTTGGTGGGGTGGCAACCCTCAAATCAATTTCTTGGATGATAAATCCATGATGGGTGGCAACCCTTACATCAATTCCTTGGATGTAAATCCATGTTGAGTGGCAACCCTCAAATCAAATTCTTGGATGATAAATCCGTGATGGGTGGCAACCCTTAAATCATATGTATGCAAATCCATGAGATGATTCCTGTTCAACAAAGCTCTGCTGAGCAACAGGGAATCTATGGAAACAAAAATGGTGTTCTGGGATTTAATTCCAAAATGTGCACACACAAAAAAAACAAAAAAAAAACGTGTATTACCTCTTGGACTCTCTGACTAATTCTCTCCATCTCTACTTGAGAAAGCTTTTCTTTTTCTCTCTGAGCACACTGCATCAAAAATGAAAAGGGTGTTTAGTCATGTAGAAAAGAATAAGCTGCAAAACAAAAATGGCTTTCCAACGATCCTGCAATTGCAAAACAAAAAGGGGATTGATTGTATGTACAGAAATGAAACCCGTGTTGGCATATGTACAAATTGTATAGCCATGATAGCATGTGAAGAGACACAAAAATCCATTTGCTGTGTAGAGACAAAAAAAGAAAGCAGGGGAAATTCCTTTTTTTGGCCCTAAAATTCTTTGTTGCCATCTGTTGAGGCCCAAAAAAGTCACGAGAAGCCCAAAAACATTTAAGGCCCAACATAACATATAATGTTGGTCATGCGTTAATCCAAACTATATTTTAGGAATTAATTCATTAAGTAAATATAGAAAAAGTGTGCATGCCATGCCAAATTATACCTTTTTCATATGTCAATCACCTACCAAGCTCGCATGAACCCAAGTCATGTGATTTACGGGCTTGTATGAGGGATTGTGGTGTAGAAGGCTACGGAGGTCCATAAGGCTCATGAAAGCTCTTGGATAATGAAGACTTTAGGCTAGCTACTTGGGACCATCAAAGTCCAAGCCCATTACTTAGAGTTCTTCAATGTGGGTGAGCAAATGAGATGTTCTTCAAGCACTCCCTATTACCCAATGAAAACAAGCCAATTCCGACACTTCCTTTTACCCATAGGAAATAGTCATTTTCCAATGCCTAGCTTTACATGTTGGAAATAAGAATGTCCCAATGCTCCCTTTTACCCGTTAGAAATAGACTAACTCCAACACTTCCTTTTATCTATTGGAAACCAAAGAAAGCCTTCACCTTCTATAAATTGGGAGGCATTGCCCAAGCAAAACCAACCCCTCTTGGTTGCTACAAGCCTCTTAACAACCATGAGAACTCACCTTTCTTCAGCTGCTGCAAGCATTCCAGCAGCCATCACTGTCATTCTTAAGCCAACAACCTCCATCCTTTGGCTGCTGCAAGCATCCCAACAACCATCGTCCAGCATCTCTTGGTTGCTCAAGCACCCCCGCAACCATCAGACCACTTTCCTTCCTCCCTTTGGTTGCTGCAAGCATTCCAGCCGCCATCCCAGTCACTCCTTAGCCATCACAACCATGTCTCCCACTATCTCACCCTTGAAATCTATCATCTTCTCTATAAAGCCTCACCAAGCATAACTCCAAGTTTTTCCTTCCTTCCAAGCTATAAACACCATAGCCTTCAAACCTCAAGCTTTTCCTCCTATCCTCCTTCTCTTAAAACTCTTAAATCCATAAAGCCCTACCCAGCATAACTCCAAGCTTTTCCTTCCTTCCAAGCTATAAACAACATAGCCTTCAAACCTCAAGCTTTTTCTTCCATCCTCATTCTCTTGAAACTCTTAAATCCCCATAGCCATAGCCACAAACAATAAATTCTTAACACCCAAACTCAAGCATATCGAATACCAAGCCAAGCACAAGCATTCTCATTTGCTAAACTTGCGGTTCTTTAGCTCCCATACTTCAAGCTCTCATGCCAAGCTCATATAATCTCATATCAACATCAGCAAGTCATCTTCAACTCATCCAGAGTGAGCAACATCCTTACTTATTGCTGGAAGCTTCAATTTTAAGTTGTGTTCTTCCATCTTCTTCCTCTCTCTCTCTCTCTCCAAAAACCCTATTCCAGATCTAAAACACTTATCTTCTGAAGCCAAGTTGAAATCATGGGCATCACCTCTTTGGTGAGAAATCCAAAGGCGCGACCAAGCATTCGTCAAGCTGCCAGAAGCCCAATCAAACAAGTAGCAGCTGCTGGAACACCTATTCCACTATGTTTCAAGCAAACCCTTTCCAGCGTCTGCTCCACCTCTATCATCAAGCAATGGCTTCATAGTAGCTGATGTATCCTTCTCATCAAAACTTTCAATGAACTGAAGAGCCATTGATGAAGACCAAAGCACTCCCTAAGGTCTCAACTCTTTCGGGGTGTTTTGGGGCCTAGTGCCACAAACTCAGACGGGGGTGCACGAGAGCTCGATCTACTTTGCAGTAGTCCAAAAGATCCCAACACCATATGATTCTTTATTGCTCCTGGAGATCGCTTTTAGCAAATAAAAAAGAAGAAGAAGGAACCCACATTGCATAGACTTTGGAATTTATTTTGTGTTTGTGTTTGCAAATAAGTAAAACAAAAGAATGGGTGCAGGTTTGTGAATAGACAAGAAAAAAAAATATATATAGACTACAAAAACAACAATTAAATAATAATTATTAGTAATGAAATATGTACTTAGGTTACCACATAGCGCATATTGAGAGAGAAGTTAAGAACCTAACCTTAAAGTAGTCTTCCCAAATTTCTTCAGGAGCAGTGAATTTCTTTGTGGTTGAGTCCCACCCAAACCCAGAGTTATGACGCATAAGCTGTGAATATTTTTGATATTCTCTCTTAAAGTATTTCAACCGACTTTGGTAATGACAATAAGTTTTATGACACCTAAGTTTTTCATTAAGGATGGGAAGTATTTTGGTTTCTACAGTTGCCTTGCTTAGCACGCCATTGGCATCACGCCATCCACGAGATGCAGCATCAACCATGAGCTGCAACAACATTTTGCTCTCTTCCACACTCCAAGCACTATAATCTTTCTTGGCTTTCCCTTTTCCAGTAACTTGTTCGCAATCTCCCATTTCTAAATTATTATTATATATATATATATATAAACATGCAAATTATTGTTAGTTATAC